CCGTCGCCGTGGGGAGCCGCGGGAGCTTGGTGGAAAGCAGGTTGAGTGGGGCTCGAAGTCACTGCGGTCCCAGTGGGCTGCCTATCAGCACGGTACTGCTGTATGCGCCCCCCCCGTTTGCCGCACGCTCTGCGGCAAAGAGGCAGAAAGCCCATCCTGGTCTTGGAGAGCGGCCGATACTCGCCAGCCTGCACAGGAGGCTCGCTCGCCTCTAGGGACTGTCAGGGATACACCCACATGGTCAGGGACATGATGGTCCCAGCATTCGCAAGGTCACCTCTAACTTCAGAAGCGCAGCTGGTCAGCCTTGGACCAAACCCCCTTTCACATGCAAACTGTGAGCATAATACTGCTTTACTATGTTTTACTGCTCAGTTTCACTATAAATTACTACCGCACTGCCACAACCAGGCTCTCACTGCTATCACCCCATGCTTTGGCACAGGGTGATCTTGCCCCAGCTCTAAATCTTCACTGCACCACACCAAACCCGTCGCTTCACTCTGGGCTCCTTTTCTTCTTTTTACACCGGCCCTTTGGGACCCATCGACCCGTCCGAACTCGGCTCCTCTCCGGACCCGCTCCGAACATCCCGAAGCCACCTTTCGGCGAAGCATGGGTCGGGTCGGACCCGTCGGGCCTCAGGCAGGTTGAAGCCGGCCAAGAGCTCCAAGTGTTCACTCTTCACATGATCACGCTGCGAGGTCAAGAACTGCTCCTCGGGTAAGCGAGGTCGAACAAAACCACGGGGCCAGCAGTCCCACGGGTCAAGCACACCCCCTGTTCGCGCAAGCAAGCGGAAGCGCCTGGAGGACGCAACCTACCACTAGACTTCACCGAGATTCACCCAGTGGTACCTGGGATCCACCGACTGAGACAAAGCGTCAACTGGGCGCCGTGAACAAAAGGATTCGAATCCGGCCGAAGAACAAACGACACCCCTGGAGAGGTCATTCCCCAACCAGTTACAGACTCACAGGCTCACAGAGTTGCGGATCCTGGTGGAGATCAAGCGTGCTTCGCATCAAAGTGAGGCATTCCCAAGCTCCCCAAGCTGTGCTTAGCTTGAGATACTTTGTCGGACAGTCGCTGCAAAAGGCCCATACCGTCGCAAATCTCTGCAAGGACTCATGTACTGGTACCGACCACCGGTGCGTAGACGGTGAAAACCTATATCCATGCCCTCGGTTATGAATTACTCCCTCCAGCTGATCATGCGAGGCGACCTGAAGAAAAAAGCGTGGGCAAAACAAGTGTGAAAAAAAGAAAACTGCACTAACCTGCAAGAAACCTGGACTAACCTGGACTCCTGGCCCTTTCTTCCACTCCAACACCGGCCTCAACGTCGCCGACCGTCGCTCCACTGCTTTCCCGGGCCGAGAGGCCATGAGACCCACGCCCTCCGCGCTGGGTGCGAAGGTGTCCTCGATCCTGGAGACCGGGCGTGGACCGGGGACCGGGGATGGGGATGGGACGGACCCCCCCCATCCGTTGGAAGGCCTTCGGAGTCCTGGGGGGCGATGGAATCAGCTGCCAGCTGATCAAATTGAAGGTGTTTTTTTCTAGCTTGGCTTCGAAAATGAAGGCAACAAGACTGCAATCCGTGTTTTGAAGCATTTTGAAGCTGGTTGTTCACTTCCACCTTCAGTGAGACATGGGGATGGACCATGCTTCGCCCGACTCGTCCACCGCCAGGGCGAGTCGAGCACGGTCGATGCTCTTAGAGGTGAGAGCTCATTCACATACCAGCACCATAGGGCGTCTTTCGGGTGTCCAATGAATAGCCCCTTTCCAAAGCCCCGGAAAGCCCCGGGGTCGTCAAACCTCGGGGTGTCCATTCACCACCACTGGGGGTCCTGGGAAGCTCATCATCTCAGACCTGTAGAATTCGCATTTCCGCTTCCCTTGTTCCCTGTTCCAGCCCGTTTCTGAGCGGAGACCCGTCCCCGTCCCCTCATCAGATCCACCCATCCACGAACAAACCACTGCCACGGAAAGAAGCCGGATAGTCCACGTCCATCAAAAGCCAGGTATCCTTTAAGTCGTCCCCGTCCCCGGGCTTTTTGCGCCGATTCTGGACGTCCCCCACGTCAGACAAACGCCTCAACAAGCGTAACAAGCACACCCTCACACACCCACTCCATCCCCCAATGACATCCCAAAAAAATCCATCCCCCCAAAAAAATTAACACTTCGCTCAAGCATCTCCACCAAGATGGGAATCGGAGGCGCAGAGGTTCCACCTCTCCATTCGTTCGGCGATCCGCGGGAAAGGCGAATCGGTCCCATCCGGCGGCGGTGCGGCGAATTCGGCTTCGGCGCGATCCGGGTGGCGAGGCGAGGGAGGGCGCGATCAGTGTTTGGGAGGCCTTTTGCAACTCAGACTGAAGACTGGGTGGCGTTTTAGCATGTATACCGCTAAGCTATAGGCTATATAGGCATTGGAAGACCTTGCGTTTCTGTCGTTTTGAAAAGCTGCGTTCTAAAGTGGTGTGCATTTAGCAGCAAAAGGAAAGTGGTGTGCTTGAGCGACCGGTCTATTTCCGAAGCTCGCCGGCTCCACCAGAGCGGTCAGGTCCGGGTTGGGAGTCTCCGTTCCGAGAGTCAAGCTTGAGGTGTCACAAGCGTGGGGTATGCCTTCCCCCCCAAGGTTCACCCCTAAGCCACCCCAAACAAGAAACCCCATGGCGCTCGAAGGGATATTCAGCCAATCTGTGGCCATCCGGTCGGTGCTGTCGCTGCTTGCCATCACTGAGGCTCTCTCCACTGGTCACTCAGTGAACAGCCTAAACACCCACTAAGAACCAACAAAAAGAACCAACAAACGGACTTGGACCCAGTCGCTTAGGGACTTGGACCGGACCCCACTGGGGCGCCGGACTGGGCGCCGGCACGCTCATCGTCTTGTAGTAGAGCTCTGGGGCCAACGTCTCCTGCCGGTCGGTGGGCGCGGCGGGTCGGTCGAGCGACGCAGTGGGAAAAAGGCAAGCAGGATCAGCGGGTCGGTCGAGCGTCGCAACTCCTAGAATTTCGAGCATGTCCAGGTATGTCCAGGTCAACCCCTGGGTGTCTCAACTCCGAGTTCTCCTCCGGCACCGCCAGGAAGGAATGGCTGATGAAGGCATTAATCAAGGTGGTTTTGCCACTCTTGGCACTGCCCAACACCGTCACGCTAAAGAGTTCCTGGGCGGCTCAGAGGAAGGGTGGAAGGGCGGAAGGGCCTCACTAGAGGGCCTGCGTGTTCACACCGCGACGGAAGGGCGGAATGGAATTCATTTCAGTTAGGGATGATCACCTAAAGACCAGCGCCAGCACCTAGAAGGACCGAGAAAAAGACCTCGAGGGACCGAGGCTTGTTTCGAATCCTTGAGACGTGGACCATTTCACACCTGCTATCACCTGTGGGGGGGGGGAAGACACCACATGTGGTCATGTCACCACCAGACTCGTACGGTTTCTTACGGTAGAGCGACCCAACCCCAGGGCTCCTGGCTCACATCAGAGGTAGGGACGCTGTCCCCCCGACGACCACCCACTCCAACAAGCTGGTCTGAGGATGTGGGGCAGGAGCCCTAAGGGAAGCCTACAGTAGGTTTCAATCCGCCATTGGCATATAGTACACCAGGACCTTTTCAGTCAGTGACCTCGTATAAGAATTGGTAAGTGACCTGTTCAAGGCCTAAGTGACCTCATTCTGGGATCTCAAAAGGTCACTGGGAAGGTCCTGGCACATATATATATATATGTTTTGTACATATGTATGTATATATATATAGAGCTGTCCCAGACGTTCATCCCTTCCGCACACCAAGTGGCTAGCGCCGACATTCTACAGCAGATCCCACCATCGCCGCCCACCACGGCGGTGTTGAGTGTGTCACCGGCGCCATGGCAGGCACTTCCACGTTTACCATGTCTCACAGGTTGAGTTCGACTGCTGGACTCTTGGCATTTTCAGGAACAAGTCCTTAGGGTATAGCAGCAGTAATTAGCAGTATTTGATATGAAGCATTCAAGTCAGTTAGTTGACGCACCAAACCGGGCCCTCCAAAAAGGAGCCCCACCGCACCAAACCCTTCAAGGGAACTGCCTTGGGGTTCCCTCTGAGCGGGAACGGAGAATTCTTGCCATCCTACCATGAGATCTCTTGTTTCTGAAGGACTCCACAATGTGGGAACGGAGAGTGGGATGATGAGGTGCATACGCTGCATATACCTTCCCACCCAATGAGTCTCGGAATTTTGCAAGGGAACAGCATGGCAGTTTGAAATTGGATCCAAGTTCGGCTTTCTCATTTGCCCCTGCACATCAAGGTTCGGTTTGGTACTTGTCTTCCGGTCGGGGGCCAGAGTCCCTGTGGGTTTTGGATGATTTTAGGTGCGCTGTTAGCCTGATTATCTCTCAGAAAGGGAATCTTTGTCCCTGTTTTCGCGGCTGCGTGGCACTCATTGTTCCAGTCCCAACGCTTCACGATGCTCCCTTCTTCTGCCATGCCTGTTCAGCAAACCGTTACCCCGGCAAGAGACCCCAGCGCCTAGTCTGGTGTAAGGTTTAGAGATCTAAGAGTCTAAAGGTGTAAGGTCTGGAGGTCTAAGAGCCCCTATAGGTGTTACCACACTGTTGGCGCTCTCTGCACCCCAACCGTCACCACATCGGCGGCACCGGTCGCCTTTTTGGGGCGCTGGGTCGCACCTCGACCACCTTCCAGGTCTTTGGGAAGGTGGCGAGTCGTGTCGCCACACAGCCTCGCGGAAGTGGGAGGGACTTCAGGGACACCACCAGTGACCTCTTTGGGGAGGCGCTCAAGGGGGGATAGACATGTGTTTTTCGCAAGAGGTGCTGCAACCCATCTTCACCCCCGCAACGACGCCCCGCCAATATTCGCATGCCGAGCGAACGATGTTTGATCCCTTACAAGCCTCGAGAGGTGCACCGAACGACCGTGGCTGAAGCTCCCGACCTCTACTCCACTCGAGACTCTCAGGCGCAGCAGGGTGCCTTCACTGAAGCGAGCAGTTCTCTGCCTGCACCGAGACCTTCTTCTTGTTTTGGTAGAACTCCTTGGTGGCGGCGTCTCACTCGCGTCGCGCGCCTGCCGGCAACCGGCGTGTCAGTGGAATGTGAATTGAACTGTTGAAAAGGAAACAAAAAACAAAAACATGATCCGGGAGCAGGCAAGCCCGAGTGCAAAAACAAGCAATCAATACCTGTTTTTGTTTGACTGTATGAAGTCACCCTGTCCTCTCTGTAGATTGGTGCGTCCCACGTCAACCGCCCTACCTCAACCGCCCATCCCGTTGCCCCGGCCCCCCGCTCCGTCCTTCAACGAGTCCGAGCTCCAGAGCTGAGGCCTTTCGTCCGGAGCGGTGCCGGGGGTGAAGGGCGGAAGACTCAAGAACGGAGAGGCACACTATATATAGATCGATATATCTATTATGTGATCTCTATATACTATTATTGTAGTCTATGTGTATATATATAATATATATACATACTATATATATATACTATTATATCTGTGCGTGTCTTTTTGGTACACGAACTGAGATTAAGTGGGAACAAATTGGCAATGTGCTGGGCTCTCCCCTTGGAAAGTGAGGAAAGTGAGCTAGTGCCTGGTTGGGAAGCCCGATCTAGAATGGTGAGAACGGTGTTTGACTGGAAACCCGGCACCTCAGTCACGAGAGAATCATGAGTTTCTCTGCAAATTGGCTCTATTCCGCTTCAGCAGTATGCCTTTAGTTGCCATCAGCTATAGCTGCTACGAAAGCCCCCAAAATCACCAAACGCAAGCATGCCTCCGCATTCCAAACAACCCCACCCAGTGACTAGTCTGAAGAAAGCAAGAGAGAGGCGATGCAGAGGCCGTCGCCCAGACCTCCCGCCCGCAGCACGGCTGCAGTACGAGATCCCCGGCTGCAGAACGATGTGCTCCACCATCTCACGAAAGAGCTTCCGGACCCGAAGGAACTTCAAGGCCGAGACCTCCACACCGCCGCATGCGGGTGGGCGTGTCGGCGCGACGGCGCGCGCGTCGGCGCGTCGGCGTGTCGGCGCGCGCGAAGGCGCGTCGTCTCTGCTTTCTCGACAGGATCATCGTGTAGGTGAGTGAAGGATGGCGGGTAGTAAGATGCTTTCAGAGCGGGATGCGGGAGACATGGCTTAAGCTTGGGATTTGAACCTCTGGACAGAGATTTCCTTGACTCTAGAGATACAGTGATTATGTAGCTTAGCTAGGTGTTGTGGAGGGTCTACTGAATGAACTGTTCGCTCCACTTCAAGTGCTATGAACCTAGCTCTTCACCCTGCAAAAGTCTGAGGTCACAGTTCCCTGGAAGCGGACATGGAAGTGGAGTTCACCCGCTCCACTTCAAGTGGATGCCAAAACCGCGCCGTTGCCATCCGCCATGTTCCACAACCATGTCACCATCGCCATGTTCCTCATTCGGAGTGTCACCAAGAGAGGTGGAGACGTGGCCGTAAATAGGACCTTACTGCTGGTGTACCTGTGAGATAGTCAAACATAGTCAAACGGTCCTTCAACCTCTGTTGGAACACATCGCATCGATGGATATCGATCGCATCGATACGTCGCGCCACCTCGAAGTAGGGCAGCCTGAGCCGCGGCGAGCGCGGGCGAGCGCAGTGGGAGCGCGGGCAGCGTTGAAGCGTTGAGCCGGCGACAGGCTGAGAGGAGATAGGCTGGGAAGGCTGATCCGTAAAGGGTGGAACACATGGACCACTTTTTGATAGTTAGATGATCGAAGTAGGAGCTGCAACCAATTGGCCATTGAACCGTGATTTTACATGTTAAAAAAAGGAACCTGTCAGACAGGAGCCTTGATTCTGCTGATGTCATAGGCGACAGAAAACTTGTCCCAAAACCCACCCCGTTTGGATCCAACTGTTCACTCTCCACGACAGCTCTGGGATTGAACATCTGGGCCTATATACAGTATAAGGCCTTAAGGCCACCCATTTCCTAGTGGACATGGTCATGGGGATCCCCAGGATTTACGTATGTGTTCTTCGGATTTACGGTGAGCCACATCTGGGTCCCCCGAGCTCTTTGATCTCAGCGAAGGCCCGTGCGGCAGCCATGGTCTTCTGCGTCTCCTCCTAGGAAACGTTCACGAAAGGTGGCATGCAGCGTTCCGGAACGTCGGAGAAACACGTGCGTCATGTGCAATCTTTCACGAAAGTCGACATATTTGCATGTATATATATATATTGTATAGCCGTATAGCTCTTCTTGATCTAACGTTGTTGCGGATGTTCTACATTCTTGGCCCCCAACAAAAGAGTTGAGATGGTTGAAGATTAGTCACCTGCTCCCGCACCCTCCGCTGAGCACCCTGCTGCTAATGGCTCTTTGTCAATCCTCAGCGCAAAGACCCCTAAGTTCGCTCCACCCTTTGGTCAGGAGCCCCCAAGGCATGTTCAGCATCTTGATGGCAAGTTCATCTATGTCGATGCCCCCCAGACCTTAAACCTTAAATGAACAATAACCTCCCATCCTATGGCTAACACAATGACACAATCTTTAGAACAAAACCCCCACCCAAGAGAACAACAACGCATTCTATGGGGCCCAGGGTCTTGACACGGAGCTCAGACAACTGCCTCTTAGCTAGCCATGTAAGAGCTTGCAAGATGCTGCTTAGAGGATTGGCTTCATCACATTAGAACTGTTGTTTCCTGGTTCCTTTCGTGTGTGTGTGTGCGATGTGTGTTCAGAAAGATTGTTCTTGCTGAACCATACATCTTATGTATCGCCATCTATGTGTATATATATATATATCAGTATATCAGTATATATCAGATTATACATTATACATCCATCTCCAAAACATTCCAAAACCCATCTCATGAGTCAACCCATGTCAACCGCACCTCATGAGACGCCGCAACGGCACCACACACGCCGCACGCGTATGCACGCGTCACCGCTGGGGCAGCGGCTTGTTCGCCACCAAAAAGACGGAGATGCCCTTCCTGGGCCCAGCGAACAGCGAAACAAAGGCCACGCGGTCAGGAGAACAGAACATGACACGTGGGGCATCGATTTTTTTGCAGAAAGAGATGGGTGGTCCATGTGATCGGTGAGGCTTAGAATACATCAAAAGCGTATGTGTCGGGCTCCAGCTTGCTGGTTCAAAGGCTCCAGCTTGCTGTTCTGGGTTCCCAGTGGACAATTCCCTTCGCGATGGGGGTGACGGACTGGTCGGGTTGGGGTTGGTGATCGGTCCGCCTTGGCTGGAAGGATCCCAAGTGGTCCAAATCCGGTCCAATCCGAAGTTCGGAAGCTGGGAAGGCGGTCCATCCGTGTTCGACCACGGAATCTGCAGCAAAACAGCTTTTGGATGAGCACGTGCATCACGACACATGGCGGGTTTTCAACCTCAGCTGCTGGATGTTCGACTCAACCGGCCCTTCGACTTCGCGTGGCTTCGTCTCCTTTTTAAAAGCGACCGTCGCGCCGTCGGCGCCGTGACCGGATGCGGTCCTCGGTCACTGTGTCCACGGAAATGGGCCGAATGACCACGGGTTCCGGTCCCGGGTCAGCTGGGACTCTGCGCAGAATCCTCTACGTGACCTAGGTCTCCATGGCACCTGGGGGTTCCAGGCACGACATGAGGGCGCCCGACGGGTGTTCTGGAAGTGTTCTTTTTCATTCTTTTTCTACTTATTGATGATCATTTGCCCATCCTGAAACTAAAAGCTGGCCAAGATCCTGTTGAATCCAGGCGTTATGCAAAAACGACCAAAAAGGGAACAATGAAATGGGAGCTTCGGGGCGCCCTTGCGGGCCGGATCCTGCCAGCAACGGAGAAGTTCTCTTGGGAGGATTCTTTCGGAGTTCCTTCTTTGGGACCTCCAGGTGCTGTTCATGGTCACAGGGATCTTGGAGGATACACAACGAGGCAATTTGTTCGAACGAGTTGGAACGTTGCTTTGTACAGTAGGCCCCCCCCCATTCATGGTGTAGCGGTGTAGGTGTCTTTTTCGTCTTAGACTTGGAAATCTCCTAACTTCCCCACACACCTGGAGCAAGGGACTAAATGAGACTAAAGGGAGCCTTTTGATAGTGAGCAGTTGGCCCATGTTGAATCTTTATATTAACCGTACTATATGGAAAGGACTTCCAAGGCGAACTTGAGGAACCTATCAGTTTTAGGCCATCCCTTCAGGGAACCCCCGAACCTCTGGTGAGGTCAGTGTAGAACCACTAGACCGGTGGGGCGTGAAGGGGGGCGACATCTACAAAAGATGTGGAGATTTGAAGCAATGTGCATAAACCGTTGATCAATCATAAATAAAGCCTCCCTACCAGAAGGAATTACATTTCCATATGGGTTGGCCTTCATTCATCAACAGTCTACATAAACTGCTAATTGTCTTTTTGTGGTCATCCATGTCTAGAACAAACCTGACCCCCCTTTCTTTATGCAACAAAGGGGTCTTTTGGGCTTCCACACATAACCATTATAATATAACGATAATAGTATATACATGTACATGGATTGGGCCGGCCAATGGGGCATTGCCTCCCTCTCCAACATCTTGTCACTCACGGGAAGACTGGATGAAGCGACGTGTGGAGGAGAAGACTGGATTCCTTGGAACCCCACACGGACATCGGCCCCACCGAGCCCGCAGAGATCCGAGCCCCTTTCTCTAGGTGCGGTTGGTGCATGAGTTGGGGCCACAGAGGAGGTCTGCTATGACCTTGCAGGTGAATCGCGCGTTGTGATGCCCTGCAACCATGGAACCAAACTGATCCAGCAAACGTCAGAAGCTCAGAAGCCCATGAGGGCAACTGCGAATCCACTTCAATAGTTCACCTCTTTTGTTTTTGCGGGCTTGTCTCTCACTTCGTCTCTTCAGGAATACCTCAGACGGTTGCATCTGATATAAAAGTAAAAAAGGAAACAGGAGTTCACTTTGCGGCACCGACGTGTCCATGTAACTGCTGGTTCAACCCATCTTTGGGAAAATTGAAGTTCCTACCATCACCTACTGCTGAAGCGAGCAATATCAGAAACCACCGCCACACTCCAGTGGAAACTCTCAGAAATGATTCCAGTGGGCATGTGCAAACAGTTGCCATCCATGGATCAGATCGAGCGGACTTCAAGTCAAGATTCAATCCCGAGATCCTCAAAATCTCTCCATCGCTGGGCCCGATGGCCCGGGCTGGGTGCTTTCGCCCGAAACAGGTGCCTTCAGATGGAAAGTGCTGCTCCATCCGCCCTGCACCATTCAGTGTCCCACCTCCAGGGGAACTGGTTCATGAACAGTCCATCTGATTCTACAATCGTTCACATAGCAGCATAGCACATCTTCACTAGCGCAAAGGAAACACTGGCATGTGATGCGGCATCAACAATTCTTGCCACCCCGCGAAACAGACAGTTACGCATTACCAGGGCCCAGTTTCTCAGTGAAAAAGAACCCTTACCCCATGGCACGCCCAAAAATATCTCCCCAAAAAATGCTCCCCAAAAAATGGTCCATCCAGTTCAAGGCCACCGATTCCATGCCAAGTGCCCTTGACTTCCCCCCGCCACCGGTTCCGCGTCCTTCCCCAGGGACCCCCGGCAAGCCACGACGCCGTTCTTCGCCACGGCCCCCTGAGCCATGCCGGACTAGAAGGAGAATGGGGCCCCCAGATCCCCCCCTTCCTGGGGGGGGCTTCGAGTGAAGAAGATCTGAGTTTAAAAACGTGTTCAGATTTGGGGCGGTGTGAAAATGGAATGGAAGTAATATGGAGGGGAAGACAATATACACCCACACCGCACCACACCACTATTCCCCTCACCAACTTCCGCCGCATGGTCTTACCGGTTCGGGGGCCTGAAGCTGATTCTTCAGCCAGCATGACAGTGGCGGGTCATCCTCCGCAGAACCTCAGGCTGCACGCTTCAGAAAAACAAACGAATGGATGGATGGATGAATGTTCGGATACAGGGTAAAAATGAGCGAGAATGAACCATTCAAAAGAACAAAAAATATCATATATATATACACACATTTGTTTTACTTATTTGTACATTTTTACTTATGTTTTTATGTATGCTTTATATATATAAATACATGTGCTTTACTTATTTGTACAGTGTTTATATTTTTTTCAGATGATGATGATGATGTTCAATGGAGGGTTTGAGTGGTATCAATTCCGGGCGGCTCAGCACAGCCACCGCGCAGCTGCCGGGGCTTCGCTGGTTGAAGCGGCGACAGGCATGGCAGCACTGCTCGCGGCTGCCTGAGGGGTGAGAAGAAGCATTGTTCCGCAGCGACCGACCGATGGGACTGGAATCCGCCGACCCCGGTCTAGGCCGATGAACGTGAGCGTGAGCGGAGCGGGGCCGGCGTAAGCCTCCTAAATAGATGTGCTTTGTCTATAACTATGTATCACCACGCGCACTGAGAAGTGAATGGTGTTGTACCAGGCACACAGGCCTGTGTATAGTAAGATGGGTTCCCCAAAAAGAAAGAGAGCGAGCTGGAGCAAAGGCGACTTCCAGGAACACAACGTTCTCCCAGCACCGGCTGCAAAAATCTTCGCAATGTGGATCATATATGATCATACTATATAACTACATTATGTACTTATATATATATACGATATATAATACAATATATAATATATAATATAATATGATATAATATAATGTAATATAATATATATAGCCATGGGACCCCATAGCCTACATAGACTTCAATGGGACTAATCCATGGGTTGAATATCTAGTACATGGACCCCAGTCAACCAGCTCTGGCCTTCCATGGAGTCTCTGGCTTCGTCTTAGAAATTGGATCAACGGGCGGAAAAGACATACTTGGATTTCGATCAATGTCAATCAATGTCAATGCAGTCTGGTGGATCCCCAACATCCTGCAGTGCTTGGTTTTCACGTCTGTTCCCGGGAGAAACTGGGCTTGGCTCCTGGAGGCCGGCCTGGGATCGCCCTACTGGCGACCATTGCCAGAAGACCGGGGATTCCACTGTGCCGTGAGGCTTGGGCTCGGTACTGTGCCGTTCGGTTCGCTGAATTCGCTTTCTGTCCAAAGTCCCTAAGCGTAGCCAAAGTCTCTGACTCTTGAGCTAGTCAACCAAAGACTAAGAAAGCTCAAAATTGCTCAAATGGGCTTTTGATGGCTTTCGGAGTTACTCTTGGCTTAAGTTTTCAGCAATAGCGGTGCATACTTTGGGGTCCGGCTGTTGGCAAAGACATCCACTGTGATATTGTAGTGATAGCCTTGTTTGGGGGTGATTTTGGTGGAGATCAAACCTGCTTGTACAGGGATCAGAATGCTGTCGGGCCATGCGCAGTGTTGGTCAGAATGGCCTGAACTCGCCCGATCCCCTGACCACTCGTGGCGTCTCGTGGCGAAACGGACATGCGGATCACTTCTTCGGAACCTATGACCGTTGCTCGAAAAAAAAATGGATGACAAGCTCTCCATTCCGCTTGTTTCTCCCATGTCCGCGGGACATGACCTCGGGATGTTCTTGTTTGTCTCCTTCGACTTAGGATGGACAGACATCCTTGGCAGACTGGACTCAAGTTCGAAGCTCAAGTTCTGCCAGGCCAGGCACTGCCGGGGATCGTCAGGAAGTCTGTCCCAGCGTAGTCGTGGCCTTCCTGTCCACGGGAAGATCCGGTTGAAAATCCACAAAGACGGGATGAGGAGGAGACACCAGGGTTTTCCGGCATGATTGGCCTCCCAACCTCTCCCCAAAAGGATGCTTTGAAGCTTTTTCAGGTGCAACATGTCAGCCTCAGTACCTGCTCTAGCCGCCTCTAGCCGCCGCTCTCCACTCTCCCCTTCGCCCACACACCGCCCCCCGCCCCCCGCGGTAACGCCTCAAAGCGACAGCCCTCGTCCAGCGCGTCGGACTGGTCCCGGGTCGCTCCGCGCGGCGCCGAAACTCCGCGCGGCGCCGAAAGCCCCGCGCGCTCCGCGGCCGTGGCCGGACCGCTCCGGCGCGCGAGGCCGGCGACGGGCAAGGTCTCGTCGGGGCGGAAGAAGGGATCCGGCATGAGCTCCTGGCAGGATCCGTCGAGGGGTACGGCAAAAGGGGATGAGGATGAGGCATGGGCATGGTCCAAGCAGAATGGAAAGGGCTGCCAATGGCTGCCAGGTGCCAGGTGCCAAAAAAGGACATGACCATTGACCCTGAACCCACTCCCATGTAGGTAGACTCGGTAGATATGCCATAAATGCATATTATAAAATAATATAATAAATGGAGTGTCTGGCTCATATACCTGTTGAAGAGGTTGTTAAAGGCCATGCTGCGGTGCTCTTTTCCCTTTTCGCACCCTGCACGTGCCGAAGTTCCAGTCGTCTCCCCGAAACTCTTTGTGTCACCCTGCAGGCATGTCCATGCTGCTGTAGGCTGTTGGAACGCATGCTGTTGATCAGGTATGTCCAGACTGGAAGAGAAAAACACAAAAACACGGGTGCTGCTCCACATCGGAAGCCAAAGCACCCTTGAGGTCCGATCGTTCATCCTTTTGGAGGCCACACCAGTTCCTCCATTTCGTGTTCAGCTTGAGCCAACCGGTCCGAGAAGGGAGGTTCCACAGTCAAATCTGAGAGAGGGCTGAAGCTGCCATGGCGTGCAAACCCTGTGTAATCCGAGAGCAGGCCTTTTCATGTGGAGAATCTAATTATGTGCACGATGTATGCCAGGCGCACAATGTGGCCTCCATGGATCTCTGGGGCGTTCAGGGGTGTGGTTGGGTCTCTTCATGTTCACACCTTGGTCTTCGTCTTCCACCCCAATCGAACCTGCCTGAATTGGACCCTCCCCGTCCGGCAGTGGGCGCTGTCCTTGGCGCGTCCGGCGTGGAAGAACTGGACCTAGCTGCGGCAGGCGCAGGGGGGGCCTCACTTCGCATAATCAGTGTAAGGCAGTGTCATCGTGGTCTCAGGATCCTCCTTCTGTTTTAGGGACTGAATGCCAAAAGGATCTTAAAACTGGTTGAACCTTCATTGTATCCCTTTTTCTTGTATCAGTCACCCATATTTTATATTTTTTCTCAGAGATGTCTGTATCTCCATCCCATCCATTCCCCTCTCCTAGTATATATATCCCACGTGACCGGTAGAACTCCGAGGAAAAAATCGAGGGGCATAGGAGTAGAGGAAGCTCTGCACCGGCTGCCGCTGGGCGCGCTCCAACGCGCGGCTGGAGCTCGGGTCGAGCAAGAACCAGCTTTGAAATCTCAGCAGCCCTGCAGCAACACGACGACCGGGTCGGAGGTTTTTTGGTCGGCAACTCTTCCTGCGGTCCTACTCCAGCGACACCGAAAAAAGGTGTTTAGACGCTTTCATGATCCACCTCAGGTTGCTTCGGGCTGGCCTATTGGCCGTCGAAGGTTCCACTCATGTTCACCCGGCCAGAGCTACTAGTAGGTTGGAAGATTCAATATTTGCGTGTCGACGCGTGTAGACTATAGTGACTATTGATTCGGTTGATGAATCAAAACCCCAGGACTGAAACCGTCTGAAGATGGAAACCATTCTGGATCTGCTGCTTTTTCATGCTTTTTCAAGATCCTCCTCCTTTGCGACGGGAACACAAGTCCCTTTTGATCGAGGGGAACACCGGGAACACGAGGAGCCTCCAAGCCGGGCATAGCCGGACCACATGGGCCATGTATTTCCCGTGAAAGACCCGCTCCGATCGGTTCAGGGGGGGCCCGGTTCCCACCTCCCGATGCCTTGGACCCGCCGTCTTTTCTGGTCAAGGAAGGGATTCGTGCGAGTCTCCCAGAGGTCCACTGAGTCAGAGTCCATGTGAATGAATCTGAAGGTGCTCGACTTCCTGAAATCATGTGCATGGCACCCAAGAACGTCGGACGACGAGACGACGACCCTGTTCCGAAGACCAACAGTGATCAGTGTAGATCTTGCCTCCTACTACTTCTCTGTCATGGGGTCTTTCCTTCACCCTCTGCATCCACCACATTCCCACACCACCGACATGCCCCGCGTGGCCTGTCTCATTGACCTGCACGAGACGAGGTTCTAAGGCGATGGCGACTCCGTTCACCCAGCGCCCCGCACCGAGCGACCCGATGCTCCGTGCTTCGGAGCAGAAGTCCGGTGCTTCGGAGGGATCTCAGGTCGAAGAGGGACCTCAGGTCGGTCCCAGTCCAAAGACCGTGGAATGCAGTCGAGGCCTCCCTCTTCGGACTGGGACCCACCCAGGTCGAGGCGTCCCTCTTCTCCTCTTCTCGTCTTTTCGGTCGGTCCCTCTTCTTCCACCCCGGTCGGTCACGTGTCGTTCGGTCGAGGCGTCCGGCCGAACCTCCGCGTTCGGTCGGTCCCTCGTGCGTCCACACGTCGACCGAATCAGATGGGCCATGTCATGTAGACTCTTGATTCATCAACCACCCGATATGACGAGGTGTGTCAATTCAATGAAGAGGGTGATGAATCAAGAGATATCAAGAGTCTACGGTCTACATGGCCATGGGTATGGGTCCTCCGCGATTCTCTGTGCACACATGGGCGGGACAATCCGCTAACCTTCCTAACTGGAAGACTAACATGGACCCTGAAAACATCTGAAAACCAACTGCTTGGTAGAAAACCATCTTCCAGGGCGCCAGGACGTCAGGGTCTGTGTGAGTTGACTCGGGAGTCTATTCCGCGCAGTCGGGCCGCCTCATCCTTGGCCAAATCATCTGCCTCGGGCGCTTCGCGACCGGTGAACCGGGTTCGCACCCGCGGCGATCGCGGAGGACGCGACAAAAAGCAGCGATGGTACAACTCCTCTTCCCTGGGCGCTTCTTCGAGGTCCAAGCTGGAAGGATTGGGTCGTTTCTCCCATGCCATGTGGTCTCTGAGACATTCCCGTTTTTAGACCTTGAGGTCGGTCATCCCCGAAGCCTTCAACTCCCTCCACCCCCTTGGGCTCCAGACCTCTACGCCCAGCAGCAGGATGATCCCACGCCACCATGGCCCCATGAGCGCAGAACATGCGCGGCTCTGGACGCTTGGAGGCTGGGGGTTCAACGTGAAGAGAGGATTCGGCGCGTTCTGGAGGTGTTGGGTCAACCTTTTCGATTTATTCGATTTGGGCACCAAAGAGAGGGGCTCTGCCTCGCCGGGGTGCCGTTGCTCTTGGAGTTCGACCTGCATCTCTGCATCTCAGGTATCTTTCAGAGGGGCAGAACGGAGGGCTTTCCATCCCATCGTGGAGGATCAAAGCTGCAACGCCATGTTTCTGAGGATTCCGTGAGGATTCCGAGGATTACATGAGGATTCCGTGAGGATCCTTTGGTCTTGTCCTCTCTTGAGTTTCAATCCTCATGTACCGCGCGCGGAGTTCCGTGTGCGCGGTTCGGCGCTGCGAGGGCGATCAGGTTTGCTGCTTAAGAGGTCGTGACCGACCATGGTTTCGTCCTGTTTCGCACTGCACGAACACAGCCCATCCGGCCCTTCCGCAGCGAAACGAGCAACCCTATAGTTGAAAAACGCAAGAAACACGCTACTGGAGTGTCAGAGACGCTCCAGTAATGCCAAGCACACCTCCCCGCAATCTAAAGCAGAAAGAAAAGAGAAACCACCTGCAGTCACAGAGCTCGGGGCGCTTCATGGAGGTAGTCAGGGTCAGTTATATAGGGGTGCCCTTGTCACATTCCACTCACTTGGGGACTCAACACCACCCCGTAGGATCCCCGACCCCCGCCCCTGCGCCGCCACGGCCCCCTGACTCGGCCCCCACGCGGCACGGTCGTCTTGGTCCTCTCCGGCTCTCAACAGCAGGGCTGTTGGACACCCCTCAACCATCCTTAACATCTCTTTTTCTTCAGGCCATTGAGAGACGCCCCTTCTCAAAGGTCCTGGTAATCAATTCCCGAAAAAAGAAAAATATCTCTGACGTTCGGTCGCACGGGCGCAGCGCAAGCGGCGCCGCGTGCAGCGTATTCCCGAAAACAAATTACACCGGCATAGACCCAGATAGCTAAGCAGAATCCCACGACCTGTTGACATGCGACTGGCTGGAACAAGAATGTACGCAGCCTGCGTAGCCAGAATACGGCACCTCCACAGCGCGCACCATCAGCTGACACCAGCACCGACACCCTTTCGAAAGCGCGCGCAGCCAGCTCATTCTTATTTGCAGCAAGAGCCCCATAGCTAGCCCTATATGGGGAATAACAACGTATGGCCCAAGGCCAAGCAGTATCCAGCGCCACTATGTAGCATGTTTGAAGCAACGATCTGCAGAACGACGAGGCCGTATGATCTTGCGCGTATAAGTTTATGCGAACAAATGTACGCGCACAAACGGGAAAGCCCGTAGGCTTCACTCGCCCAAGGCCAAGCAGTATCCAGCACGATTTTTGTGTGTGTAGCATGCTGAAACACTGAAACACGCTGAAACCATGGTCGGTTGAGAGCTTGACGTTGCGCATACAACATTATACGTACAAAAGTATGCGCGCAAATTCTATATCCTTGACGTGTAAATACCCCACAGCGCTAATAGACAAAGAACGCTCAAGCGACAACACCGCATGATGTTGCGTGCATAAGTTCATGCGGCCCATGACTGCTGGCACTTCATTGTCAGAAGCCGCGCTTGGTCGCCCTTCACTGCTGCAAGCGGCCTTCACTGTCAGAAGCGGCGGTTGTTATCACTTCACTGTCAGAAGCGGGCACCAGCACCGAGCACCGGCACCACCACCCAGCCCAGCACCCAGCACCCGGGACCCTGTCTCCACCACGCGGCGCACAGCCAGGACGCAGCACTGGCACCCAGTCTCCACCACACGCACTGCCAGCTCACAGCACCGGCACCGGCGCCCGCTGTCTCTACCACGCGCACTGCCAGCGCCCAGCACCGGCGCCGTGTCTCCACCACGCGCCCACAGCCCGCACCAGCACCCGGCACCGGCACCCAGCACCGGCACCCTGTTTCCACCACGCGCACAGCCAGCTCAAGGCACCCAGCACCAGCAACACAGCCAGCACCAGCACCCGGCACCGGCACCCAGCACCGGCACCCTGCGCGCAGCCAGCTCATTTTCGTTTGAAAAAAATAAGAAACACCAGGCGAACAGCCAGCACCCACCGGCGCCCGGCACCGGCACCCAGCACCCTGTCTCCACCACGCGTGGAGCCAGCACCCAGCACCAGGACCGGCACCCTGTCTCCACCAAGTGCACAGCCAGCTCACAGCACCAGCACCGGCACCCGGCACCCAGCACCTGCACCCTGTCTCCACCACGCGCACACCCACAACCGCGCGCACAGCCAGCTCACAGCACCAGCACTGGCACCCGGCACCCAGCACCAGCACCGCCACCCGGCACCAGCACCAGCAACCTTTCTCCACCACATGCACAGCCAGCTCACAGCACCAGCACCAGCACCGGCACCCGGCACCCACCAGCAACCTGCCTCCACCACGTGCACATGCCAGCTCACAGCACC